TGTTAAAGACATTAAAAATAAATAAATTTCAAAAAACAAATCAACATTAAAAATAAATAAATATTTCATTTCATAAATCTTAAAATATTTTGTACAACAGCTACAATATGATCCAATATTAATTAATTGGACTAAAAACTGAATAAAATATGAAAAAATAAATAAAGCAAAAAATTTAATTAACAATTAATTTATAAATAAAATTACCTATATTAAGATCTTTTTCATTATGTTCATCTTTGACTGAAATGATTTCATTGGGCTGAGTAAAACTTAAAGCTACCCAATCATTAGAAGCTTTTGTGATGTTTAACATAGAAAAACTTTTCCTTTTTAATTTAGATTTTTTCTGATTATTTTCATCATCCGAATCTGATATATTTTGATCTAAATCACGCGTCTGTTTATGGTTAAACAGATGCTTGTAAGTCAACTGAAAAAAAAAATTACTTTTTAACTTTACATGTGTTAATTCTTAAGTAATTATTAATAATTAATGACTATTAAAAAACTAAGAATATTTGTTATAAAACATTCAGTTTTTACAATATCTATCAATTATAATAAATTCACCAAATACTAAATATTAATTAAGAAATATAAATATTACTTTGCTCGTGTTACAAAGAAAATATATTTAGCTTCAATCAAAGTCAATATTTCATTTGTTTTGCTGATGTATCAGATAGTAACATTCGTCATTTATAATATTTTACATTTAAAATAGACACAATCAATTCATTTCATACTGATTTTTTTAAATGAGTGGCCTCTCAAATATTCCATGTGTTTTGGACATGTCTAGCATGTATGTCTCTATTGTAAATAAATTGAGAGAGAAAACATTGGTATATGGCTTTTCAATAAATACTTTTTTGTTTTGTAATTTAAAAACAGACTGCAAGATGTAACCACAAGGCAGTGAATTCTGATATATCATTAGGGTTGCCACATTTTCAAAATTGCTGACCCAGACGGAAGGGTCAGGTTTGTTCGAACAGAAGTTCCTGATGCATGCACAATGTTATTTTACAATGCGAAGAATAATGTGCATGCCGGTTCTAAATCAGTTACAGTTAGGGACTAGGGACTTGAGTAGGAGTAACGTAAGTAACCCTAAATAAGAAAGAACAGAACAGATACAGATGACTTAGTCTATCAGATATTGGAGACTTGGAGACGTGTAGGATCATACATGAAAAAAAAAAACAAAAAAAAAGGTCATCAGATTGTGTAAACAGGTTGGTGTAAACAGACTAACATGGCAGAATTGCAGATGAGTTTCAGTGAGTGTGAGTTCTTTTGCTGTTAAAATAGTGTAAATTTGTAAAAATATTTGCAAGAACTTTGTTTCATCATAATTTCACAATTTCTACGAAATTCCTGGACAAAATTAATAGTTCACCCGGACAGTGAGTCAATTGCCGAACTATCCGGGTGAAAACCGGACGGGTAGTAACACTATATATCATTCAGATTACATATATAATATTCCTTCAATTGAGCACATACTTTATTTGAAAACAGTTAAATTATTATTATACCTAGAATATTTATTTATATCTTAGATTATTTAATGGCATAACTTGCTTTTTCACAGAGTAAACGTGCAAAGCAATTTTTACGTCACACAGTAAACGTGCAAAAACCAATGTTTACGTCACGTTTCCTGTACGAAACGTGACGTGACGTAAACATCGGTTATTAACTTACTTATTCAAAATACTTTTACTCTTCTAGATAATACTCGGTAATTAACACTTACTTTTCTTCTTACAGGTTTTGACTTGCGCATGTTATCAATAAAAGATGTATACAAAACAACGTCATATTTACAGTTCCAAACACGTCGAATCTCCCGCTATTTACCAGCAGAAAACGAATCGGCCGATTCGAGTATGAGTGTTGCCAGACCTTAATTTATTTTGTGGTTTCATATTTTATTTCTTCCCTTTCATCTGCACTTTAGAGATTATAACTGAATAATTTTCGTACATTTTTTTTACTTTTAGAAATTCAATAAAATAGTTTAATTTTAATTATTTAAACTTTATAGCTAAAAAAATATTTATAAACGGTAGCGTAAACAGGGAGACCAGGGGACGAGTTCTCTTTACTCCTCTTTAAAAACCATGAAAAAATAAAATAAATACAAGAGAAAGATTTGGATATGATAAATGAACTTATAAACTGTACATATGTAAAGTACATACAACATTTACAGCGCTTTTTTTTAAACTCTTTCCGGGCTGTGGGGACTAAGAGGGTCTTTTAGAAGGCCCATTATGGATTCGGCTAGGCCCACAATAAGGCGACCGGGTGGTGAGGGACAGGGCCTAACATCCGAACGGAACCCCCGAAAAATTCCTGGAAATTTTTCAACCCGTCCGGATTCGTTCACGGGTCCTCCAGAGCGGTAGGCTGTCACCTTGATCACTTGGCCATCCGGCCGACACATTTACAGCGCTAGCGGCTAGATCTACAATGGTACCAGTAGAGGATCGGTTTTGGACTGTTAGCCTCCTGCGTGCTACAGATATTTGGCCGCCATTATTACTGTTTTTTTTTTTTAATTTCTGGTTTTGGGCCCTTTACCGCTCAGAAAACAAAAAGGCCAGATCCTATTAATGGTGATCGCGAGTAACTTCATAACATAATCCAACCCACCAGAGCTTACAGGTATGTTTTACGACAATTTCATATAGTTGACAGAAGAAAAAAGCCCGTAATAACATTTGATGTACATTTATTTTAATTTTGTTCAAATCAAGCCATCCCTTTGATAACAAGCGTTTTTGTTCAGTTACATTTAAGTCATAAAATAGACTTTGCAAATTAAAATTAAATTATGATTGAATTTTATTTTTTAAAGTACACTATTAGTCGTCCTAGGAATTTGGCCGCCTGCGTGCACGAACCCACAGCACAACTACCAGATCTGGCCCTATAAAAAAACGTTGCCAGATGATTTCTCTTTACGTGCACTTTGGGCACGTGTGCCATAGGTTCGCTACCCCTGGCATAAACTTATGTAATTCAAATAAAGCAACATGCAATTTGTTATTGTATGAAAACACTTAAATGCAAAATATTAAATTTTATTCAGGTAAAATACAAGAATTAAAGAATTACAGGCTTTCTGACAACTAGGTCTTTCATATATGTTATATTTTCATACCTCTAGAACTCTTTTCATAAATGAAATTTGAACTTTCTTACATTTTTCACTAACAGAAAAAATTTCGAGCTATAGTAAGGTAGTCTCTGTCAGTTTTTACTTTGGTAACAGGAAAATCCTTTGTGGAAATTGTATTGTATTGGATTGATAATAGAACACATGAAAGATTTGCCAATGGGAAGCGTCTCCCGGGAGAACTTTTTACGAGGAAAATGGCCTCTATTTAGTGAAAAACATTCGGAAAACTTCACTTGGCTATCCCGTTGGTCAAGCACGAACCCGCGATCTACTACTGGGGTTCAATGGTTTTATCCATTCGGCCACAAAAAACCACTGCAAAAATTAATTTATATCATCTGTTTCATTTATGATTTCGACACTTCAAATAATGTTTTATCCGTTGTAGTATATTCACCGTACAAAAATAAAACTTTTACGTTAATAAAAGATTAAAAAAAAATTGTCTTTCTGCCTTAATTAAGTTATAAGAGGGTCTTTTAACTCATACCTATTGTGGGCCTAGACGAATCTACTGGGTTCATCCAGACCCAAAATGGTGACTACCGGCAAGTTAGAGACGATGGATGATATATCAGGAACATACCACCCAAGAAAAATTCATAAGATTGCGGTTAGGATCGATCTCTAGTCCTAGGATTAGGCATTAATTTCCTTGGTTATGCATTTCCCATAGTTAGCAACGAAAGATCTTTGTCTTTTTTATTTTCTTCATAAAAGATATACGCGATGTAACAATTTTTAATTAATTTCAACTTAGCGAATGATATTAATAAAAGTTATATACAGTAAAATCCCTATTATCCAAGGTAATGTGGACCAATGATATCTCGGATAACACAAATGCTTGATAAATGATAAACTAAATAAACTGGATTTGAATCCATTATAATGGACAATGTATGTAAGTTTTATTATAGTTATATGATTTGCTTTAAATCCTTATAAATTGCACTTAAATACGATCATATAGGCTTAATTATGCATTGCAATTAATCAGTTTTATTTTATTTTTCAGTATTTAAATAAGGATAAAATATAAAATATTTTACAATCTGCATATCAGATTTATAAGACTCGTTCTTAGAAACGTCAACGTCCTATGGTCGTTAGCATCAACACGTGAAATTATTTGCATCCATTCAAGTTTTCAGACAGGATATAAAAATCGTTTTTAATATTAAAAAAATAAAATTGCATTAAAACATTTTATTATTTATAAATTAAATAAATTTATACAAATATTCAATAAATAAATTTTATAAAATTAATCACTATGTATATAATTTTTTAATGTATATACTGTAAATATAGACTATAAATCTAATAAAATAAGTTTAATATCAATTAAACTTTAAAAAAATTTGTTTTTACTGCATTAAGTCCCTCAGTTTATATAAATTTAAACATTTTTTCTGCACTTGTTTTGACATTTAATAATAACTTTAATATTAATTATAAATTTCTATTTTTATACTTAAAATTAACAACACAATCTTCCTATAATAATGGCTAATGGCTCCTTGACAACTAATAAATTCATTAAAAAATTGCTTTTATTCATATTCAGAATATGCTGATAAGTAAAATATATTTCTTAAAAAATAATTGAAGAGTAATAAATTAAAAATTCCGAAAAGATTATTTAAATGTTGGGATGAGTGACTTAAAAGTCAATTTAAAAAATATCTTGTATGAAGAAGATCCAGCCAAACCAGTTCACGTTAAATAAATAGAGGTTTTCTCCAGAAGGTCATCATTATCATCCAAGATCGTTGGTCCGCAGCATCATTGGAAAACGAAGATGAACGTGCTGACGATATTATTTTTCACCACTTTCTCAGTTGCAATTCGTGAGTATCGATTAAATATTTAATAATTTTTAATATAAAATTTTGAATAATTCAATTATTTTGATACAGATGCTCATTTCTTACATCCTGGTTCTATTGATTGTGCTCAATTGTTAAAATCTGGCCATAACGAGAGCGGTTTATATAGAATTTGGCCCTTGAATTGGGGTCATATAGGGAGTATGTTAGTTTATTGCGATATGGAAACTGATGGTGGAGGATGGACGGTAAAATAAATCTATATATAAATGGTGATATTTTTTCTTTGCATTTTAAAATATATTTTAATTTGTTTATTTTATTATTTATTAGATATTCCAGCGTAGAGGAAACTTTAGTAGTCCTTCACAATTTTTTCATAGAACTTGGAAAGAATATAAGATAGGTTTCGGATCATTAGACAAAGATTTTTGGCTTGGTAAGAGTATTTATATCAATTCAAAAAGAATGTTAAGTATTGAATTTCAGAATTAAATTAAATCAATTTAATATTTCATAGGAAACGACAGAATTTTCTCTTTGACCAATCAAGGAAATTATTCCTTGAGGATTGACATTAAAGATATCGATGGAAAAAGGCGATATGCTATCTACAGAGAATTCTGGATCGAAAACGAAGATCAATATTATAGAATACATTTATCTGGATTCGAAGGTCACGGAGGTAAGTTAATTGAAAATTTTCAGCCCTCTCAAGATTCGTGAAACGATGCCTGATATACTAACATTTCTAGAAAGTATATAAGGCTATAGACATACGAATTAATGGTAGTTCGTGTATTAGCGTGTCAATTCCTAAAATCCTTCATTATATAAGCGTTTTGCTTTTATGATGAAAGACTTTTACCTTTGCAAATGGGTTTTTCCTCCTTCTGCCCTGTGGGCAGTAAGAGGGCTTTTCTCAGACCCATCGTGAATTCGGCCAAGCCTGCACTGAGATTGCCGGATGGCGAGGGTTTTTGGTTTCAATGGGATACGGCAACGCAACACATTTGAGATCTGCCAAGGCGATCATCCCGAGAGGACTATCTCCCTTTACCCAGTAATTTTTATATTCCTGTTGTTCAGTTAAATCCCGTTTTCCGGATTTGTTTGAATAACTGTTTCTTTCAAAATTTTTATACATTTTGTGAAATTATTAGTTTTTGCAATGTTTAAGATCATAGAACTATTTATGGCCTTATGTATCTACATAATAATCTCACGTTTTCAAGGATGAAAAACCCAGCGAAGAGTTGCTTTTCCGGCAACTTTTAAAAATTCATGTGGCACCATCTTTTATGACATTTTATATTTTTAATTATCATAAAATGGCAAGAAGCTTAATTTTGAAGATAGAGATGAGTGTTATAAGAAAAATTATAAATGCTAATAATGAGTAAAATCTTCATTAAGTCCGATCCTATTCGAGATATGACACACGACCCCCTCTATCTTCCTACCCCTGGACATTTAATCACCAAAATTTAATAGCACCAACCCCTTTAATACACAAACTTCGCTGCAAAATTTCAAAATTTTCAACAAAAAGCACAGGAGTTATTAAGCTTAAAACAGGTACAGGGTGAACAAAATCGTGCCCCCAACACAAACATCCTCACATACAAAAGAAACCCCGATTGTTTGCATTTCTCGACGTTTCGAGGTCCCTTGTCCAAAAAATGTAAAAATCTTGGGGGTCATTTTTTGACCCCCAAGAATTTTTCTGTTATATTAATATTTAACAGCTGAGAAAGTAAAAATACACTCCCTCTGTACCGAGTAATTTTATGTTCCTATTTATGTACAGTACTGTAATTTTAATATTTCTATTGTTTTCAAGTCAGTAAAGCATTGACGGTCGGATGGCCGAGCGGTCAAAATGGCAGCCTACCACTCTGAGGAACCCGGGAAAAATCCCCAGGAATTTTTCAGGTGGTGGTCTGTTCGGATATGTTGGACCCCGTCCCTCATCACCCGGCCACCCATTGTGGGCCTGGCTGAACCCATAATGGGCTTGGTAAAAAAAATTCCTCTTAGTACCCACAGGACGAAAAGAGTTTTAAAAAAAGTCAGTAAAGCATGCAAGTTTAATTATAATATGAAATTTTAGACTTTAATTTCAATACCACACTAATTTCGAATTATCCGGATAAACAGGATTTGACGATGTTTTTCTTTATTCTTTCCTTCCTGTGGATTAGTACTAAGAGGCCATTTTAGCAAGCCCGTTATAGGTTCGAGCAGGCCCACAATGGGGTGATTGGGTGGCGAGGAATGGACCCGATATATTCGGCAGACCACTCCTCGTGCAAATTTCTGGATTATTTTCCAGACCCATCCGGATTCGATCCCAGATCCCCCAGAGCAGTAGGCTGTCAACATAATTGCTCGGCCATCCGGCTGTATAATTTAAATTACGACTAGGTATGTTGATCCATAAAATATAATTTTCAAAGTTATGAATAAATCAAAATTTCGTTAAATTTAATAAAAAATTAATTGGTCGCTACAGTCTTTTTCAAAACGAAGAACGAAACCGATGTTCATTAGTTTACATACGCAAAGTTTAATATTTCCACGTTCATTGCTAGGTTGAACGTAATGTACAGTATAGGGTAATTCAAAAGGTTGGTCTCAATCTTCAGAAGCGTATATAGGGGCGAAACGGAATAACTTTTGAATAGGAACCTATGTTTGCTGACGTAATCATGAGTCAGTAGAATCCGTCTAATGTAAGGAAGTATACCGCGGATAGCGCGACTACACAAAACATACCAATAAACAAACGTTTAATAACGAAACAAAGACGTACAATATACTAATGTAAATGTAATACATACGAAATGATGCTGTTACAAAGTTGTTCGAATTGTCGGCCCCATTAAATGCAGACATTATCAAAAGAAATTCTGCTGCATCTTTTCAAACATTCCAGGTATCTCCCGAACCACATGCGCTGCTGCAACAATTCTGGCAAACAGTGTTTCTGGGTTGTCCACCTGTTCTCGTAAACAAGCATTTGACATGCCCTCAGTTACGTTACAAAGCTTGTACTGACACAAGATTACGTCAACGAGCATAGGTTTCCTATTCGAAAGTTGTTTCATTTTAAACCCTCCGAAGATTGACTCCAGCCTTTTAAATCACCCTGAATACTTAAAGAACATATGGGACTTTTGTCACTGTATAATAAACAAAATTTTTGATTTTCATACTCAAGAAATTATAATTTCTTAAACTTAACATTATTATATATTTTCAGGTTATTCTTTGAGTTATTCTAATAATAAAGAATTCAGTACTAAAGACAACGAAAATAATGAAGGCTTGTGTGCAGAAAAATTCAAAGGTGGTTGGTGGTATGCTGATTGTATAAAGCCAGATACGAACATATTTTATCTAAATGGGCCCTATGAAAATTCGGATGCATCAGAAGAATCAAGATATTCACCCGATGCAGAAATGAAAATAAGACCCGCAGATTTCTCTTTGTAAAGTTTTCAAATTGAATACTGTACAATAAAAATTATGTTTTTATAATCTGTAATATCATAATATAAAATTAATAATGATTATTTGAAGATATAGTTAAATTTATTTTAATCGTAACGAAATGCAGAATAATATAAATTATAGGTACAGTAAAATCCCTAACTTTGACCATCGGTGGAACCCATAGATTATACAAAAGGGGAGACACAAGCTATAAAAAACGGCATAAATTATGCAAAAAGTTTCAAACTATGATTCAATGTCAGATCAGCGCATCCACAAAGTGGCACTGGTTGCAACTTGGGTATTGAAAACATGGAAGGTTCCTGTTTTTAAGGCCTAATTTTGGTCAACATGCTAGGAAGCTGCTTGGGACAATGGATAAATATCGTTTATTAGTTTATTTTATATTTGCAGAATAGGCTAAAGACATGAATTTTGTTTTTTGATTATAATGGAATTTTGGACTTCCTTGAAATTAGGAATGGAGCAACACAGACGAAATGGGGAACACATGCCCCAATATACGGTACTAATAGTTTCCACCAATAGTTTCGAACAAAAGTGGTCTTTATAACGGATGGTCGCTTTGAAGGGGTGGCCATTTAAACAGGTTTTACTGTAATACAGAACAAAATTCTCTCATATGTATAATTTAATAAATATTTAAATACCCAATTATTCAAAAACAAGCGATTGGTTCTCTCTGAGCAGTAAAGGATCTAAAACCACAAACAATTAAAATATATATATATTTTAATGAAAAGCATAAGATAAAAATTTTTTATCTGATGATGACATCAACGTTCTAAAGAAAATAAGATAACAGCAGCCACAGTGTGTCATTGTTTACATGAATATTTTGATAAAACAGTATAAATATGTTTTAATCATTTTAAATCTAACTTACGATAATAAAAATATTAGTAAACTAATTTAGTATTAAAAATAATTAAGTAATTTAGAATTAGAGGTGTTTTTTTTTAATGGTTGCTCTGGGGGACCAGGATTTTTTGATCCTGGTCCCCCAGAACAACCATTTTTCTGAGGTGGTCTGTCTGGATATATTGGGCCCCTTCACTCATCAACTGGCCACCCCACTGTGGGCCTGGCCAAACCATAACGGGCTTGCTAAAAAGGCCTTCTTGGTGCCCAAAGGGAGGAGAGTTAAAAAAAAAAATAGTTGCTCAATTTAAAATGATTAGATTCATTTCCACTAACAGGTACTATTGAATAACAAATTTTACATGTTTATTTTAAACAACTGAAGTTAAAAAAATTTAAAGCAATTTTACATTCTTCATATTAAAAGTATTTTATTAATCCTTTTTCTAAAACTGCAATAGTTTATTAAGATTAAGAATTTTACATTTGAATCGCTTAAAGGAGTTTATTAATTTAATAATTATATCCTTCATTTAAAATTACCGAATTAGAAATAAAAGAAAGAGTATCATAAAATTGTTTATTTTAATATTTTTTATCCATTTTTTCAGATACAATAATACAAATAAAACGATAACATTTAATAAAGTGCATTTGGCACAAACTTTTGAGGTTTTCCTTTATGAATTCTAGAAAACAAATCTGAATTATTTTTCAATATGTTAATATAGGGAAGGTGGGGAAAGACTTACATTCATTTTCTTTTTAATAAAAGTTACTTATCATCATCAATACAGTTTAATTATATGAGAATGGCTAATTCAAAAGGTTGGTCTCAATCTTCAGAAGCGTATATAGGGGCGAAACGGAATAACTTTTGAATAGGAACCTATGTTTGCTGACGTAATCATGAGTCAGTAGAATCCGTCTAATGTAAGGAAGTATACCGCGGATAGCGCGACTACACAAAACATACCAATAAACAAACGTTTAATAACGAAACAAAGACGTACAATATACTAATGTAAATGTAATACATACGAAATGATGCTGTTACAAAGTTGTTCGAATTGTCGGCCCCATTAAATGCAGACATTATCAAAAGAAATTCTGCTGCATCTTTTCAAACATTCCAGGTATCTCCCGAACCACATGCGCTGCTGCAACAATTCTGGCAAACAGNACTATTATTATTTATTTATTTTTAAGTATGGAATTAGTTTTGATTCTGTAATCTGATTTACTTACAGTTAGATAGGCTGACAAAGGTCAATGGAATGAAACAGCAGTATAAGAAAGTAAAACAATAAAATAGACCTATAACAGATTACAAGTTGAAAACAATCCTCAATCCACTAACTCACACTACACTGGTATCATTATATATAGTATATATAACCGAATTGCTTAGTTTGGGAGGCCAAACACAGTAGTAGAAACATTTTTTATCTACTTTCAGATCATCAGCTTACATAAGTACTGTACTGTACATACTGTACTTCTTTGTTTGAATGGATATAGTTATACAAGCAGATGATTTGAAAGGAGATTGAAAATATTTATTATTAAAAAATATTTGGCTCTCTGAACTAAGGAGTTGTTTTATATACTACAATTGAATATAATACTCAATCGTGCAATGATATCATTATTCACTTAGGATTGGAAAGATGTTGAATCCTTTATAAAAATTAAAGGCAGATTGAAAGGGGGTTTTACTAATTATCTATGGTTGGATAAAAAAATAATACTAGTAGATTTTTTTATAAATAGAATTATAATTTCTAGCTAAAAATAATGAGATATGGTGCAATTATTTTTAGTTATAAAATACATAAGTAATTTATTAAAAAGTATACATTAAATATTTGAAATAAAATAAAATCATTTTAAAAAATAAATCAGTATATTAAAATGTTCTAACATTAAAACATGTAAATTCAATCACTTTTTAAAGGAAGCCAAATCTTAAATTATCACTAAAAAAAATGTTTTTGGCTTTCATTTAGCTATCATCAGTACAACTTATTCCATAAAGTTCATAAAATAGGGTGAAGTTTGTAAAATATGGTTAATGGAAACTGATGATGGCTAAATGATAGCTGAAAACATTTTTTCCCCCTAGTAATAATTTAAGATTTGGCTTCCTTAAAATAGTGGTGGTTGAAGTGATTGAATTTGTAAAGATGGTGCCAAGCTTTATCAAATGTGAAGATTAAAAGCATAATTTTTAAATGTACATTCAAACATTGAAACATTTTATTTTAAGTATAACTCTTAACAAAACCAAATGTAGTAATATTTGGTCAGTCTAAGTTAGAAAATTGCTAGAACAACATTTTCAACTCTGGTTTTCTCATGTTAATTACATTGAAAATAAAGATGAAATACTTTTTAAACTAATTTTAAATCAACAATAATTTATTAATAAATCTACTGTGGGTACAAATTAAGTGACTGCTATGTTATTGTTAACTGTTAACAGTAAACTAATGCAATGTTTTCATGATGTATTTTCAGTAAAAGTATTGTTTATTCTTTTACACAAGGCACATATAACCTTGAGCACTTTTGCATCTATTTGTAATAGAATATATATAAAAATGACATGTTTTAGAGCATATTTGAATTTCTGTAATAAAATTTTTGACAGAATGATAGACATATATGAAAAAAATTCTGTTTTTAAACCCCACCTTCCCCTTTTGAAATTAAAAAAATTTTATCTTTATTCTCCCCCCTTTTTTTATCACAGTTTGTGATTCAAAGATAAATAATATAAACAATGAGATAATCTCAACATAAAAAAAAAAAAAAAATGTAAATTTAAAGTTGAAATTCATAGCAATATAACTTCAATTTTAATTTAAAAATTTGTTTGTATTTTGTACAAATTTTAATAACTAAGTAAATGGAATAATTAAACAAAATAATTTTTACATTAGTTACAAAGTGTTTTACAATTAAAATTTATATATAATTATTTCTGTTCAACTTTAATCTAATTAAATTGGAAATAAATGGTTAAGTTTACAATCAGTTTAATTAAACTTAGATATTTTTAACAATTTTTTTATTACTTATTGGAATGCTTATAAAAAAACAAAGTTTTTTGAATGTTAAATAAATTCATTAACAAAAAGTTTATAATAATAAAAATACAATAGCATTTTTATAAGCACATTCTATTCTCCCTTTAAACTACATATTATTCTCATAGTTTGTATTGTTTTTATGTTATAAAAATTAATGTTTATAATATTATTTTTATTTTTGATAATAAAAAAGTATATTACACCTAAATAATTCAATAATGAGATTCATAATTTTGTTTTGATTACATTTTTGTTAGAAAAAACTAAATAAAGATATAAAATATTGACATGTACTTTTGTTTTGATTACTTTAAAGTGTCTGATGATTATACTATAAACAAAAATTTTTCATATTTCTGTTTCAAGAAAATGTGAACATGTTTTGTTTCTAATATGATCTGGAAATGTTTTATCCAATATTTTTGTTCTCAATTTTAAGATTACTATAAAATTCTATGCTTGTTATCTCTACAGAGATAATAAAAATCATAGAATCTTACAATTGGTTATTAAAGTTTTATACATCTTAACACATTTATATAATATAATTACTTAAAACATCAAGTTAAAGAATACAATTAGTATAGGAAAGTATTAAAGTTTATACATTTTTAAAAACATATACTCATAATCTTTGCTTTTAAATGCTTTAAACACAATAAAATAAATTATAATAAATCATTTATTAGACTCTTTTTGCCCTCTGGGCACTTAGACAGTCTTTATTTCACAAGCACATTGTGGATTTAGCCAAACCCAAAATGGGAGTGGTTGGGTGGTGAGGGAGGGGTTCAACATAATCAAAACAGACCACCCTTAAAAATTCCTGTAGTTTTATAACTGCTTGAATTTGATCCCAGTTTCTCCTGAGCTTAACTGCTGATATCATACTACAATTGAATATAATACTCAATCGTGCAATGATATCATTATTCACTTAGGATTGGAAAGATGTTGAATCCTTTATAAAAATTAAAGGCAGATTGAAAGGGGGTTTTACTAATTATCTATGGTTGGATAAAAAAATAATACTAGTAGATTTTTTTATAAATAGAATTATAATTTCTAGCTAAAAATAATGAGATATGGTGCAATTATTTTTAGTTATAAAATACATAAGTAATTTATTAAAAAGTATACATTAAATATTTGAAATAAAATAAAATCATTTTAAAAAATAAATCAGTATATTAAAATGTTCTAACATTAAAACATGTAAATTCAATCACTTTTTAAAGGAAGCCAAATCTTAAATTATCACTAAAAAAAATGTTTTTGGCTTTCATTTAGCTATCATCAGTACAACTTATTCCATAAAGTTCATAAAATAGGGTGAAGTTTGTAAAATATGGTTAATGGAAACTGATGATGGCTAAATGATAGCTGAAAANATTTATTACATTTTAAGCATTCCAATAAGTATAAAAAAAGACAATAATATTTATAAATTCATTAAAACTAATTTTAAATTTCCATTTTATACAAACTTAATAAAAAATAAAAATAATAATATTTGATTTAAAAATTTTAAACTCTTAAATATTACATCTTTTATTGTTCAAGATTTCAAAATTCCCATGCAACATTATTCATATTTAATAATATCAATCTATTTCAATCAGCAAAACACTTCTTGATACAAAATTGTTCTTAAATGAATTCAGAATCACATTAATAAATTTTGTATTTAAAAAAAAAATTAACTTAATTGGACTTACTTTTTCAAGTTATATTAATCACTTTGTTTAGTTTTTCTGGAAAATAATACAAGATTTTACATTAACTAAAGAAAAAAAAATATATTGAAAATTCTGATCATATCAGTACTATAGAAAAATTATTGGAATCTTATGTAAGATACCAACATTATAATTATTGTATGAGTGAGTATATGTTTATATTATATTAAAAACAAAATAATATTAACATAAATAAATTTTTTTTATCCTTTTTTACATTAATGTAAAATTTTAATAATAAACATAAGTATGAAATTATAAATAAAAAGGTTCAGCATTTTAAATATACATAAAATAATACAAAATATACAGATCAGTGCTTCAACCAATAATACTGTATTAACAAGAAATGAATGACATACTTTCTAGTATAATAAGTATGTTTTAAATATAAATAAACCTAACTGCACTTTAAAATATACTCAGTGGGCTTCTTCAACAAGTTCAAAATCTTGGATGGATCCCAGGTAAAAACAGTGTTCTTTTGGAAAATAAAAATTTATTCTTTCTTTTCATGACTTTGAGCTAGAAAAAAAAATTTGAAAGTTAAAAATAATGCAATAATTTTTATTATTTAACTGACATTATATATAAATATAATATCAATTTTAAATAATATATACCCTGAGATCATACACAAGCTAAATTCCAAAAATGTATTATACAAAAAGAATCTTGGTGATATACATAAATAATACAAAATAAAAGAAAAAATGAATGAAATATTGAATTTTGATCTCAACAAAATCACAAAATACAGTAACACATATGCTTAAATAACAGTTTAAATAGCATAGATTGCTAAATTCATAGGTGTTTAATATTTATGATGTACGACTTAAAAACATTTTGTGATAACTAAGTCCCTTATTTAATTAGATTGTATTTATTTAAAAAAATATATGCTTTATGAATATATACTTTAAAAGTTTTAACAAAATTAATAAACATTAAGAGTTTAAGTATAACAAAATTATTATAACAAATAATTTCTACAATACCATATGGTGGTTCTTCATCTTCTGCTTCCAAGATATCACTGCAGCAAGAGGTATAGCAAATAATGCTAAGTAGGCCAAGTGGTAGACCCAATAATAAAGTTGTTAGTAATGGATTGCCTTTCCACATGCTCTACAATAGAAGGGTTTATTGTTATAATTTTGACTGTACTGTTTTTTCCTTTAGTTCTGTCAAAAAAGGAAGTTAATTGGTCTGGAAGCAAAAATCAGCCAGAGGTCTTACAGCATAATTAGTAATGCATCTGCAAAATAAGCAGAAGTTGTGGATTTGAGTCCCACTCTGGATTGATCTTTTCTTCCATAATATTTTAAATTATTTAATTTGATTCCAAGTTTAATGTAATTATTAACATTAATATAAGATTGTGGCATAACCACCAAATTTAGTTTTAGTTACAAGTTATTTTAGATAAATAATTATTATTTAGTCACATTATAGCCTGAAATAATCCAGCATTAAATAATTTGATTTAAAAAAAAAAAAAACACATACACATACACAATAAATCAAAAGTGGAGTTCATAACATAATGTAGTTTCAATACAAAAACATTTTACATTTTAAAAACTAAGAATTAAAAGTTTATTTACATGTATTTTCATGCTGTAATAAAAATTCAATAAGTAAGTTTCTATCTATACAAAAATGAAAAATAATTTCTAAATACTTTAATTATCCATATTATTTGATTTTACTTTTAAAACATGTTATTTTGCATAAAATCTTTAGTCCATAATCCAATTACACAAAAAAAAAAAAAAAAACAAGCTGGATCAAAGAGAGAGAGAGAGGAAAAAAAAAAAATGCACCAATCACACCCTGTGTTGAAATAAACATAAACAACATCCAAAATACAAAGAATACAGTTGAAAAACATCTGGTTCAATGTTTACAATTTTTGGTACAAAAAATTTAGATTTTTGCACCAAGAACTAGCCAAACATTTTAAACACAATCAACAATCCAAAGACATGAAAAAATTTCTTAGACTTTATCACATTTCATACAAGTGATACCAAATACAAGGGCCATCTCTAGTGCTTAGGAAATTCAGGTTGAGGACAGCAATTGAAAAAAGTGGCAAAATGTTAACATTAAAAAAAAAATATGAATTACTTTTATGATTTTTTTTTTACTAGTTACTTTTAGTTATATATGTTTATTGATTTTAAAATCAGAGATTAGGCTGATCTTTTGACAGGAAATATCCTGATGACGTAAAGCAGTACCAATTATTATATTATGTAGCATAAGAAACTAGCCCTAAGAGTAGTGCATCTGCTAGGGATGACCCTGTCTCTACCTGTTAAATGCATTAAAACAAAAACATTACATCTAAAGATCCTACACAATACAGACCAAGTTATATGCTTTCCTACACAAAATTCTTGGTTTATGCACCACAAACAAATTAATAACACATTTTTACAAAGGCACAAAAAGTTATCATAGAAAGTACCTGGGATCAAAAAACAGTTACTCATAGATTCAGTCAATTTACTACAAGTACACAAACAACACAAAAACCTCCACATAGCATATACAGATTACAGGAAGGCATTCAATACCATTCCACACTCATGGTTATTGTATTTACTACATCTTTATAAAATGCACCCAACACTCATTACATATCTAGAAACACCTAATGCCACACTGAGGAACAACAGTACACCTCAAATTTCACAGCAGATACATAAAGACAAACAAAATACACGTAAGACAAAGCATTTGATAGGGTAATGCATAAGAGAGGAATTTCTTCTACATTTACTATAATTTTATTATGCACATTATGTGATTTCATGTTACGTAGATTTATAAAAAAAAAATTTACTTTATATTAAAAGATATTTTTCTAAAAATTTATTTGTACAGATTGCAACTGGCAATTTATTTTTATTTCAATAATTTTTAATTCTCATAAACTTCCTAGTAAATCACAGTATTAATATAATTTTAATATAAATGATGTGACTTGATATAATACATTCTTACATAATTTTAGTTAATTTGTTGCTTAGTGTTTCTGTTTTATTTATTTAGTTTTTTTGTACCATTATTTTAATTCCTTATTGAACTTGTGCCATTTATTCAAATCCTCTTTTATATGAAATAATAATAAACTTGTTAATTAAACTTTAAATTGAAAAATTTGATAAATAGAAAAAATCTTACCATTAATGAAGTTTTTGCCTCAAAATATGCTCTATACAGACGATAAAACATTGTGTCACCACCATAAGCCTACAGATTAAAAAATTAATAATAATTTTTATCTAAGAAATTTAAATTATATGAAAATATAACTAAGTATTTTTATTATTATGTAACAAAGTTTAAATAAGTCATCTTAATATGCAATTCCTTTCCAAGTTAGAAATCAAATTAGAAGTTATCTACAGTGGAACCCCGGTTAATGAACGTAATCTGCTCCACAAGTTCGTTCATTAACTGAAGCAATTTTTCCCATAGAAATTAATGCAAATACAATTAATCCGTTCTAACCGTCAGTATTTTTGTAATTTTATTTGTAAAATGGGTTTTCTTTAATGAAAATATAGGAAAACGTGCTCACAAACAGTCAATCTAGGTTAAATTTTCAGAAAAGGGAAAAGATTTGACGGGTATAAAAACATCACGTACGATCGTTAAGTTCTAAAATGACAGATAGCAGAAACAATAGGCTAAATTATGAGCAAAAGGCTTATAGGTTTATCAACAATCTCTGATCATAGTCGACGAACAGGTGTGAAATAAATGCCTCGGAACAAACCTTTCTTGTGACCTGATCTGGTTTCGGTTTTCACCTGGAGACAAAGAAGAAAACAATTGGGAAGCGAGTAATGGGACGCAGGACTAATCGTGAGGTGAGATTCAAGGAAGAAATACTATAAAACCCCGAATCTCAAGGTCAAAATGCAGTTTTCCTAAAAATTCTATGGCAATTAATCTGTGTTGTCTTCATCTGGATTAAGTCTGAAGTCGTGCCTGCTAAAATTTGTGTTGTGTCTCGCAGACTGCTCCAGTTGTTGCAGCTGTCACCTGTCATCACTTCTGTGACCAAGCGAACCCATCTTGTCCTGGAGCTACGACTGTTCAGCTTGCACTATTGTAAAACCAGCAATATGCCACTCCTCAGTGCCGAGAGAAAATACTGTAGATAAGCCATTTCCAACTACTTCAAATATGTAAGCATCTTCCCGTTCTAATAAACGATTTTCACTGTAAAATATTTGTCATCTTTGTCTCCTCTGCCACCACCAACGTACGAATGNCAGTGCCGAGAGAAAATACTGTAGATAAGCCATTTCCAACTACTTCAAATATGTAAGCATCTTCCCGTTCTAATAAACGATTTTCACTGTAAAATATTTGTCATCTTTGTCTCCTCTGCCACCACCAATGTACGAATGGACCCTAGACCATCACCAACACATGATTAACTAATTTTCCCTAAAAGTCGGCAAGCTTACAAGCTTGCCGACTTTTAGGGAAAATTAGTTAATCACAAAAAAAATTTGACACAAAAAGCCGTTAAGTTCATTATCCGAGATAAAATTTTTACAAAATAAAAGTTTGTTAACTGATTTGGTCGTTAACCAGGACGTTTGTTAACCGGGATTCCATTGTATTTTCAAATCTCAATTTTAAATTCAATCATATTTCTTCATTAAATATATTTTTTTAATTATCCCTATAATTTTTATTATTATATATGTTCTTTACTTATTCTTGAAAAATGATAATAAAATATTTAGTCTTTTGAAGTTAAATAATTTTTATTGTATGATTTTTTATTAATACAATTTAAAGTATTAAAACCATTACATGTAAATATACTTATACACAGGGGGTAATGAAACTCCATGCCAATAAATTCTAAGGACAAAATAAGCTTAAAATCTTCTATAAATATTTTACAAAGGCTACTTTGTTTTTGAAATATAGCTTCAAAAAAGGGGTACTTTACAAATTCCCTGCCAAAGTAGTAGTAACACTGGAGCTATCAACTTTTAAAAGTAATTTTGTATGTTTTTTATGTTTCTGTCAACAGATTAGAAGTCAGTAAATATTTCCCAAGTAGGTCCTCCTGTAGAATAATTTATGAGAACTCAAAATATCCTCCACTGACACAGATACATAACTGAATTTTTGACAAGTCAGAACTTGAAAAAGTCTATAGAAAATTTCAAGCTTATTTTTGACCCTAGAATCTATCCCTAAAATATTGGCACGGAATTTCATCACACCCTCTATAAATCATACTATCTGCTCAATAAGGAAGCCAACAAATACCATAATAAAGAAATATTTTCAGCCTTTATTAGGCCATCATCAACTACAGAAAAATGGAATATATTCAAATTATGAAAGTGAATAATGAAGAACAGTTTTAAAATTAAAATATCATAAATCCAAATTTACAATATATTTAAATAATATATTTTTAAGAATAAAATGGCCATACCTTAAGACTAATAGAAATATTTATAAAATAAGTTTACTATGTTACTACAGAAATTATAAAAGTTTTTGGAATCTAGTATATCTTTCCACACACTTCCTAACTGAAAGGCATCACAGACATTATAGTGGGATAGATTTAGCTAATATATGAATATACATTTGTTCCAGCAGACAAATTGGACAATATACAACTAACCTCTAATAACAACTTTAAATATCAAATATCTAAAAATACTTTTCATTTCCTATACTTAATTAGTCTTAAATAGCCCAATAAAAGAATCTGACCAGTCATTTGAATTGGACAATGTTTCTTTAATTCATAAATTAGAACTGATTTATTCCAACAAATTTTGAAATTAGTATTGTGTGCCCATTGTATCAATGCAATGCCATCACTACTATGCATCCTAAGTGACACATAATGCTCTTTAACACAAATACCTAAAGAGCTAACAATTGAACTGATATAATAATTCTATCTCTACATAATTTTATGATATAAACATCAATCTCCAATCTAAGTAATTGCATTACTGTAGGACACACATAACACACATTTTTTTTTTTTTATTTTATAAAATGTCCAATAAATGTAATAAAGTTAGCAGAAATTAATTATGATTGCTATTCACATAAATTTAGTTATTTTAATATCTAGTTAATTATAAACAGAAATAATTTATAAAATCAAATTTAAACATAAACTAATTTTTGTAATTTAAAAATTTTGAACGACAACATGCAAAGTTAGGAAATTTTACTGAAAAAGAAAAACAAAAATCTGAAATGAAAAACCAAACTTTATGAACATTTCTATGTTTAACATTTCATTTTCAAATACAAATTATAAAAATGAAGAAATTAAATACTTACTGGTGCTGATTTATTAATTACTTGATCCAAAAGTGCAATCATAGTTTGAGGTGAAGGAACTTTTTCATCTTCTATTACAGGAGGCATGTAATATTGGTAAGTAACTGAATTTATTATTATAAAATTGGGAACAGAAAGAGACATCATAGCTACTGAGTTTGCTAGATCGGGTTGACCCAGCCATCCAAAAATAATGTGCCTACAAATAAAATTATACATTTTAATATTACATCACTATTTTTCAGTTAAGAACAACAAATAAAATGATGGTATAAATATTGAGAAAGCATATTTAAGATTTAAATAATTAATTTTATAATTTAAATTTATTATAAATACATCTTCCTATTATATAAATATATTCTTAATCCTAGTAACATATTTATTAAAATTAAAAACGTTGCTATGATTAAGAAAATGATTTTATTTGTATCTTTTTCAATGTGTGAAATTTGAAGCAAGCAGAAAAAGTATTTGACAAGATTTAAATACTGGAAAGATATAATTAATTTATCATGTTTTTTCAAAAATTAATTATTGTGTATTTTATTTTGTATTATCATGTACTAAGTTATATTAATTTGTTAAATTTTACTAACTTTACTTTTAAATTAAAGGTAATCCTTTACTTTTAATTTAATCCTTGTAATGAATTAAGATTCATGCAACAAAGAATTGATTGATATAAATATCTGCATGAGTAGATGAATTTTCTGTGTTGGAATTTGCCTACATAATGTGAAGTTAGAATAATACAAGCTTTAAAATATAAATTATGGATTTAATAAAAATAGTTACTGCAAGTATATATGTTTATGACATTGCTTTCACTAAAAAACTGTCATAAAATAATTTGGATAAGCAAACATATTAGATGTGATTGTTGTGAAGAATAGACACTTCTATCAACAAACTTAAAACATTTATTAAAGTTAACAACAAAGAAAAACCAATGCCATAAATATGTAATAATATATAATGAGTTAGTAACATTTTTATAGTAATGCTTTTGAAGTGGTATGTATGATATATACTTGATTTAATCTATAGTATATGATTTTAAATAATTTAATATTTTTTATATGTCAACAAGTCTTTTAAGATATTAGAGAGGTTACAGCTGACATTTTCAGCCCAAAATGTGAACATCGGATGTCAAGTGCTGCCATCTGGCAATTCTACAAGGTTGACAACGGCATTCACTATGTCTAGCATGGTGAGTAGAAGATCGGGTGTATGGGGTTAAAATTATGACTGATTTAATTGAATAAAGAGAAATAATTAAAATAGAAAAACAGATATAACAATATATCTATTTACATATAGCTGCTTTGTTTTAATAGTAGCAAAACTAAAAAAACTGATTTTGCTTTCTTTTTGCATAAATAAATTTCTTAGGTATTTTAGAGTAATTTTATCATGAAAAATGGCATATTTCTACCTCCATTGGATTCCCACAGAGATCAAATGTGTGATATCAACTTGTATTCAAATGTTAGTCAATTAGAATTTTTAAATGTTTCTCTTGTAAAATCAATATTCTTTTAATTATGCCACTATCAAAGCAAAGCAGCAATATCTAATCCATATGAACATGTAAGCAGATTAATCAAGAAAGTCTAGCAAAGCTAACATATCAAAATAAACACAATAAGTGATCTTAACTCATGATTATAAACATAATATAATACTTACTCATGATATCTGTCTCGATTAGTTGTTGCTATTGCTTCTACTACATCTTTAAATCTGTAATTAATTTTTAGTATGTTGAAAAGCAATTCTAAATAAGATATAAGTATACATTAGAATTCTTAGAATTTGGAATAATTTTCAGAACACATTAAAATTGAGTAATATACATAAACTCATCTATCTAAAAGAAAGTAAATATTAAGATTTATTTGTCATTTATTCAAATATAATAATATAATATAAAAAGTGAACAAAATATTTTTTTTTATTAACAGTATTTCAATAAAAAATGTATTATTCAATAAAAGAAATTATTATTCAATGATACTATTAGATTTTAATTAAGCCACAATAGTCATACAGTATTATAGCATGATTAAAACATAGCATTATT